TACCATCTCTATTAACACAGCTGCTGACTTGTGAAGCAGAAATCAGATTTTACTTGAGTTAACCTTCAAAAAGCAGTTTCAGAGTGACTGCTCACTAATACTCTCTCTTGCTACACCAACACCATTGCCTGTCGACAGCTTATTACAAGTCACACCTGTACAACTCCACAAGTGCTACTGCGGGATGTAGCATCCTATAGACCCCCTTATGGTAATGTGAAGGAGGCAAAGTTATGTTCATCCAGCCTGATAATTGCTATCGAGATCCCACTTTCCTCCCGCAAAAAGGGAAAGCACACTTGATGATAGAATACCCTTCATATAAATAATGTAGGTTTCACAGCATGGGCTTACTGCTCAATTTGCCTGCATTTCAGCTGATTTCCAAGGCTGAAGTTCTGTCTTCATATATAATCAGATACGGCCATTTCCTTCAGATATTTCTTCCACAGATGTTCTAGCTTGCTTCCCCACCAATTTCCACAGGAAACAGTAAGGATCTCTTATCTGTCTTTTTTTTTTTTTTTTTTTATGTGCAAGCTGTGAAATGTTTTATCTGAAGAGAATGTTTAAAGGCTCAAAGTTAAGCTCTAAGAATAAGAAGAGGCTGAATCTAAAGCTTTATCTATGCATTAAGTAAGATTGCCTCCGATAAGGAACCTCTAGTTTCTGCAGAAGCCCATGCCAGCCTCGGCACGTGCCAGGAAGGAGAGTTATGAGGAATTCTGCTGCAACAAGATACTATTGACTTACACCATTAAAAAATGACAGATTTTGGTCTTCTTTGTATATACTGGACAGTGTCCAATGAAAAAGACACCTAACACTTATTAAAATAGGCATATTATTTTCTTTTTGCTTCTGTATGTGCAGGTAAATGTTTAGGTTTGTGCATAAGGTACACATAAATATGCCCTTAAGCAAGAAAGTTGCACAAGTGGTTGGGTTTCAGTTTGAGTAAAGGGTTTATCTTATGTTCAAGATAATTCTATTCCATAATGCTGCTATCATTAGGATATGCATTCTGCATCTGTCTTTGGGAAATATATGAAGAATATATTTTTTGAGTTTCATGTATTCACTATGTATTTCTGCAGCCCTTTTAAAACAGATTCCTCATTCTTCTCAGTTAAAAAAAAGGGAACAATTTGCTCATAATTTACTGTCTTTTAACATTTGTTTTCTCTATAAAGCCTTAGGAAAAAAGTTGGAGTTTCCCTTTGCTATTAAATATAAAAGCTTCAAGGTTTCTTTGAAAAAGAAAACTGATGAGCTCGGTTTAGAGTACATAATCGCTGCCTTTACTATTTCAGGAGTCAATACAATGCTAGTAACACGGACAGGGCAGTTGCTTAATGAGGACCAAGTACATGGTTATTGTGTCAGAGATGGTAATTTAGCATGCTCATACTAAAACTTAATGAAACATTTATTATCATATTTTTGTTTACCTGGTGACTTGAGTAATTCAATTTATAAATTTTACCGCAAATTTTCAGTTAGATGCTGAAGCTTTGGCTAAAGTCACCTGTGAATCCAGACATGAGCCTTTGGACTGTAGGCTACGGTGTAAAAAGCAATGCAAAAATGTTATTTGTCTCGATGTTTCTTTTCTTCTTTTCACTTTGTCTTTCAGATCTTGCACTTTGCACAGGGCTGGTTTCAGTGCGATGTGAGAAGTCTGTGCAAATGAGACACATTTCATTGGGCACTTCAACCTTTTTTTAAAAAAATAGACAGCATTACAATTTTGCAACCCATGGCAGGGAATGAAAGCTAGCATTCAGACACTTCAGTTCTTAATTACCAGAAGATAAATGGACATAAAATTATTAAGTAAAAGAATCTGAACACCATCAAAAGCAATAAATGTTCCATACGAAATGAATTTGGTAAATTTTAAGGGCATTATAATTAATCACCATGACTTGTTCATGAATTATAATTTGTTCTGCACTCGGTTACAATTATTTTGATTTAATGCTTTTTATCAGTGAATAAATTTATTCAATTCCATTTAACTATCTAAAGCAATTTGCAAGATCTAAACTCTCAAATCTCTCTCCTGTTCGTCTCTTTCAGTTCATTTCTCCCATACGGCTTTTTATGAGTCACTGAATTATTTCTAAATCCCAAACACATTTGGGTGACTAGCTTACTTACAAAACAACTGTAAAAAGAGGGAGTCATACGGGATTATTAAATTGATGACTGTAAATCTCAGTTCGTATACGAGCCTTTTTATAACTTATTTATGCACGACTTTCTCAAATCATCGCTGAAGGGCTGGTATTGACCTGCAATGGGAAGGTACTCTTCAGCCCCTGTTGCTGCAGAACTTGCCTTCTGAAGGCCTCAAAATGATTTAGTTATTAATGAATCAAGAATATATTTGTCATAAGGCAATTACTTCTTACCTAAAAAAACAACATTACAATTCTATTGTGAATACAGTAACTCAAAATGCAATTTTTGGAAAGGTTTTTGAAGCTGAAAATGCCTTTTGGCTTTCATTTGCTTGCTTTGCCAACAGGAGGGAAAAATAGCGGAGTGGAAAGGTCTGGAAACAGTGTAATTAGGTCTGGTAGAGGATATGAAACATTGCTTTGGGGAAGAAAACACGCTATTTGCAACAGAAAAATGCATAAGGGGTAATAGAAAATCAGTTGCAAGGGAAAATGAGCTATTGCCTGCACGGTGGGATGGCGTGAATAGAGGTACCTGCACAGAATAGCCTTTTCAGTCTTCTGGTGAAACACTAACTGGGTGTGTCATACTCTATTGCGAAAAATAAAACCACACACGATTTTTCGACGCTTTCTCTTCACAGTGTCACAGCACATACAAAATGTTTTGGTGATTAATATAAAACTAAATTACGTGTGAATGCAGCTTGTGCTGCATCAGTCTTTTGACTGATAAACCTCTTGTGGCAGATGTAGACAAGCTGGTGCTAGAAGTCTTTCTTCTTTCATCCAGGCAAAGTCAGGGGAAGGAAATCACTGCTGCATTTGTAAGACCAGCTTGAAAACCCAAGACAGCTTGTCAAAAGAATACCCATCGCCTCATCCGATTTCTGGATTTACAAAGAGGAGGCTGGCAGGATTTTCACAATGTGAAGGCATTTCTCCCTACCATTCTGAGCTGGGAAATCATCCTTCCTCCTAACACAACATCGGAACAGCCGAACTGGACCACAGCGGTAGAAGGATGTTGTCACACCTCCTGATAACACACCCTTTGGCTCTGGGCTGTTGGGGCTCAGGGGCTTCCTCTCCTTTCACGTAACCACCTCGACTGGACTGGGAACCAATGGAAAAAATTCATGGATCAAAAGGCTGCAATTCAGCCTCACGAGGTACAGAAAACCCTGTAGGTAAGAAAGCCAGGAAGCCGCTGCAGCCCTGGGGCAGAGGGCTGCCTCAGGAGCCCACAGGGTTCAGAGAGGCAGCATGGCAACCATGAACCTAGAAGGCAAACCCACTTGGCCACATCCTTTCCCACTGACAACACTGGGAATCCCATCAAGTGGTTGAAGTTATTTTGCCTTGAAGCTCTGCTCCATGTTACACACTAAGGGTTTCACTTTCCTGTAGGATGTAACTAGAAGTTGAGGCAAATATGAAAATTCTTAATTTTGGCATATGCCTATTTAAAACTCAAGATTTTATTAAAAAATAAATCACCAGTTTCCACCTCTGTTAAGGGCTGTGTACACCAGACCTCTTGTAGGTTGGTCTTGAGGAAAGTATTGACTCCAATACTCTGAACTTCTCTCACTACCACCTGACACTCGATTCCACATCTTCATTCTATGATTATATGATCTTCTCGTATCTCATCTGGGAATAAATATCTTGTTTTGACATGTTGTACAGCTTCCTATTTTAAAACTTTCCTTTCCTTCTGGCAACTGCTCTACTTCCTCAACTCCTTTCATTTTATTTTTCATTTATTTTTAACAGTAGAACTACCGAAATACTGAGAAACTACATTTGCAATTACTTTTTGGTATAAACTCTGGTGCTTTAGGGACACAGGTGCCACTCTAGCTGTACTCGGACTCTTTTCATTTGCTGCTGTTAATATCCACAATAACTGTTAATTAATTGCAGCTTAAAGCAATGGCCTCTTTTTTAGATCCCGGCGACAGGGATCACGAATATTTTTCTTTTATACACCTCTGTGATCCAAGACAGCAGGCATATTTGAATTCTAAAATAAATTAACAGTTTCAAGAAGTGAATGACTTGTATGAAATAATCGCTTTTTTCCTACTTCACTGAAGAAAGACCGGATACAGGTCACAAACACTGTATAGCTAAAATGTTACTGTGAAAAGAAAAAATAAACCCCAGTGCACATATTAAGTGATTGCCTTATATTTATTCATTAGCTTAACCCTTGCAAAACACCCCACCCATTTACTGGAATGTACAAGACTGTCAAACTCCTGACATCCCTTTATAATCTCCTGTGTTTTCCTAGACAGAGACCACAGCCCTCAACACGTAAAATAACAATGAGAAAAAGGTTGCCAAGGCGTAAGAAGATCGGGGCTGCTCCACAAAAGGGGTATGAGCAGAAGCTGAGGGTGACCCCATCACAGGCCGTGCCCTCACTGACCACGGCACAGTCACACTCTGTCGGGAGATGGCAGGCAGAGACGGGTGCTGGTAACAAGAGTCCACCCAGAGCCCCAGACATGGTAAGTGATGATCTGGTCCAGGGTCCTTCCAGGCAGTCCAGTCAGGAGCAGGAGGAGACAGTGCTGAAAAGGTTACAACGCAGTTTCAAGGTCCGTGTGACAGGTACACCCGCTCAGGGCAGCACTGGGGCTCTTCAGGGCGATTACGGCCAATCAGTGCCCTCATGGCCCTGACAAAGTATCATCTACATACAACATACCTCAGCACAATATACATGCATGTATATTAAACAAAGTGCTGACGGTATGAAAAGCCTTATCAAAGTGCTGTTTCTGGATTTTGGCCTGTTTATTACTGGGTTTTTTTTGCAACTTGTACTTGCTTTTGATAATGTGAAATAATCTGAACAATTATGAGGCTATTAATAAAAAGGAAAAGCAAGCCTGCAGACCATATAAGTAAAAAAGTGTTATATCCTTTGAACTCCAGAAAGTACGCCGGAGCGAGCCACAGGCCTTGTCCAACAAACCACAGAAAGAGAAGCAGCACAGCACGACGCCAGGGCATCTTAACATTGGGCATCACGAGGGGCAAAAGGCAGAGATACCAGACAAAGTACTGGGATGTGCATACTTTGTTAAAACTCACAAAAATAGCTGTGTGTAGGAAACAACAGAAAGCAAGGTCTCTGTAAAACGCTACAGACACAGTCAGGAGCAAAAGCAGCTGCGGCAGGAAAGCTGCAAGCCCAAGGGCAAAACTCCATTTGCTCTCTGCAGTTAAGTACAACATGTAGAAATATGGAGAGAAGTTATGTCGGATGTCCCTCCTGGTCAGGTGGTAGAGGTAGGCATGCTCCAAAAATTCCCAGCCGTAGAGGTGATAAAATGCAACAGTCAATGCAGCCAGCACAGATCCAGCAACTGTTCCAAAAAGCAGCACATCGCGGTTTGGGATCTTTACAAAAAGCTGCCAGAGGTACCCTACAAATGTAAACTTTGCTTTTTTGTCACACCCTGTACCCACTGCCCCTTCCCCGCCGCACTGTTTGCTCTGCAGGCGGAGCGCTATGGGCAACGCGTAGGTCAGCGGATATATTTTCATGTGCACAGCCAGCCCATAGCAGACTGCGGCCTTCCCTACGCTCCCCCCCTCCACAAAGTACAATGTGGCGAGCACCAGCAGCGCGACCAGGGCCTCCGCGTTGCCCCGGCTGGAGACGGCCATGGGCAGAGGGTTGAAGAGCCAGGCGGCGGCGCAGCAACCGCAGGCCTGGCCAGCAGCAGCCCCTCGGCGCCGCAGAGCCCGGTAGGCGACGACAGCAGCCGCCAGGGCCCCCGCC